CCCGGTGCTCTACCAACTTGAGCTACGCCGGTATGTATGTATGTATGTATGTATGTATGTATGTATGTATGTATGTATGTATGTATGTATGTATGTATGTATGTATGTATGTATGTATGTATGTATGTATGTATGTATGTATGTATGTATGTATGTATGTATGTATGTATGTATGTATGTATGTATGTATGTATGTATGTATGTATGTATGTATGTATGTATGTATGTATGTATGTATGTATGTATGTATGTATGTATGTATGTATGTATGTATGTATGTATGTATGTATGTATGTATGTATGTATGTATGTATGTATGTATGTATGTATGTATGTATGTATGTATGTATGTATGTATGTATGTATGTATGTATGTATGTATGTATGTATGTATGTATGTATGTATGTATGTATGTATGTATGTAACTGTTACATATCTGCCGGGCCGACACTGGCCGGGGGTGCTAACCCGCCCACATATGGGAGACCGCCAAAGCACTCCTTTGTTGAGGAGGGGCGTACCACCTTGTCCGCACACTGCACCGGGAAGTGCTAACCGCTGCGCCGTAATCGTCACAGGACAGCGTCCACCTGATTGTCCATGTGACAGCTAAGCTAGCCCCAGGCGCCTACTGTCCTCAGTCCACCGAACGCATGCTCTACAGCTGCGTAATCTACCAGGGCACTCACACCGGTGCCATTGCCACCTCCTATATCCTTCGGAAGCCTGCCGCCGCCCGATCTTAGTTATCCAACCACCACCTGCTATGCAGTCTGGTCCAGGCCCTATGCAGACTCATTCCTCCACCACTGCTCTGCGGCAGCGTTGTAGTCTTCTTGGTGGCATCCCACTCCAGCCGCCCCGCGCACCAGAGGACACCATTGTCTCCAGCCTTCGACACCCCGATCTCTTTCACCCGGGGGACCAGCGGTGGGGTACGATCCCACGTCTTCCGGTTAAGTTAGTGCTGACTCTGGGGATCGAACTCCAGACCCGCCGGTTACTAACCCGGTGCTCTACCAACTTGAGCTACGCCGGTATGTATGTATGTATGTATGTATGTATGTATGTATGTATGTATGTATGTATGTATGTATGTATGTATGTATGTATGTATGTATGTATGTATGTATGTATGTATGTATGTATGTATGTATGTATGTATGTATGTATGTATGTATGTATGTATGTATGTATGTATGTATGTATGTATGTATGTATGTATGTATGTATGTATGTATGTATGTATGTATGTATGTATGTATGTATGTATGTATGTATGTATGTATGTATGTATGTATGTATGTATGTATGTATGTATGTATGTATGTATGTAACTGTTACATATCTGCCGGGCCGACACTGGCCGGGGGCGCTAACCCGCCCACATACGGGAGACCGCCAAAGCACTCCTTTGTTGAGGAGGGGCGTACCACCTTGTCCGCACACTGCACCGGGAAGTGCTAACCGCTGCGCCGTAATCGTCACAGGACAGCGTCCACCTGATTGTCCATGTGCCAGCTAAGCTAGCCCCAGGCGCCTACTGTCCTCAGTCCACCGAACGCATGCTCTACAGCTGCGTAATCTACCAGGGCACTCACACCGGTGCCATTGCCACCTCCTATATCCTTCGGAAGCCTGCCGCCGCCCAATCTTAGTTATCCAACCACCACCTGCTATGCAGTCTGGTCCAGGCCCTATGCAGACTCATTCCTCCACCACTGCTCTGCGGCAGCGTTGTAGTCTTCTTGGTGGCATCCCACTCCAGCCGCCCCGCGCACCAGAGGACACCATTGTCTCCAGCCTTCGACACCCCGATCTCTTTCACCCGGGGGACCAGCGGTGGGGTACGATCCCACGTCTTCCGGTTAAGTTAGTGCCGACTCTGGGGATCGAACTCCAGACCCGCCGGTTACTAACCCGGTGCTCTACCAACTTGAGCTACGCCGGTATGTATGTATGTATGTATGTATGTATGTATGTATGTATGTATGTATGTATGTATGTATGTATGTATGTATGTATGTATGTATGTATGTATGTATGTATGTATGTATGTATGTATGTATGTATGTATGTATGTATGTATGTATGTATGTATGTATGTATGTATGTATGTATGTATGTATGTATGTATGTATGTATGTATGTATGTATGTATGTATGTATGTATGTATGTATGTATGTATGTATGTATGTATGTATGTATGTATGTATGTATGTATGTATGTATGTATGTATGTATGTATGTATGTATGTATGTATGTATGTATGTATGTATGTATGTATGTATGTATGTATGTATGTATGTATGAATGTATGTATGTATGTATGTATGTATGTATGTATGTATGTATGTATGTATGTATGTATGTATGTATGTATGTATGTATGTATGTATGTATGTATGTATGTATGTATGTATGTATGTATGTATGTATGTATGTATGTATGTATGTATGTATGTATGTATGTATGTATGTATGTATGTATGTATGTATGTATGTATGTATGTATGTATGTATGTATGTATGTATGTATGTATGTATGTATGTATGTATGTATGTATGTATGTATGTATGTATGTATGTATGTATGTATGTATGTATGTATGTATGTATGTATGTATGTAACTGTTACATATCTGCCGGGCCGACACTGGCCGGGGGCGCTAACCCGCCCACATATGGGAGACCGCCGAAGCACTCCTTTGTTGAGGAGGGGCGTACCACCTTGTCCGCACACTGCACCGGGAAGTGCTAACCGCTGCGCCGTAATCGTCACAGGACAGCGTCCACCTGATTGTCCATGTGCCAGCTAAGCTAGCCCCAGGCGCCTACTGTCCTCAGTCCACCGAACGCATGCTCTACAGCTGCGTAATCTACCAGGGCACTCACACCGGTGCCATTGCCACCTCCTATATCCTTCGGAAGGCCTGGAGACAATGGTGTCCTCTGGTGCGCGGGGCGGCTGGAGTGGGATGCCACCAAGAAGACTACAACGCTGCCGCAGAGCAGTGGTGGAGGAATGAGTCTGCATAGGGCCTGGACCAGACTGCATAGCAGGTGGTGGTTGGATAACTAAGATCGGGTGGCGGCAGGCTTCCGAAGGATATAGGAGGTGGCAATGGCACGGTGTGAGTGCCCTGGTAGATTACGCAGCTGTAGAGCATGCCGTTTCGGTGGACTGAGGACAGTAGGCGCCTGGGGCTAGCTTAGCTGGCACATGGACAATCAGGTGGACGCTGTCCTGTGACGATTACGGTGCAGCGGTTAGCACTTCCCGGTGCAGTGTGCGGACAAGGTGGGACGCCCCTCCTCAACAAAGGCTAGTGCTTCGGCGGTCTCCCATATGTGGGCGGGTTAGAGCCCCCGGCCAGTGTCGGCCCGGCAGATATGTAACAGTTACATTACATACATACATACATACATACAACATACATACATACATACATCATTACATACATACATTACATACATACATACATACATACATATCATACATACATACATACATACATACATACATACATACATACATACATACATACCATACATACATACATTACATACATACATACATACATACATACATACATTACATACATACATACATACATACATACATACATACATACATACATACATACATACATCCCTACATACATACATACCTACATACATACATACATACATACATACATACATACATACATACATACATACATACATACATAACTACATACATACATAAATACATACATACATACATACATACATAATACATACTACATACATACATACCATCCATACATACATACATACATACCTACATACATACATACATACATAGTACATACATACCATCCATACATACATACATACATAACATACATAACATACATACATAGCTACATACATACATACATACATACATACATACATACATACATACAGACATACCTACATACATAACTACATACATACATACATACATACATACATACATACATACATACATACATAGATACATACATACATACATACATACATACATACATACATACATACATACATACATACATACATACCGGCGTAGCTCAAGTGGTAGAGCACCGGGTTAGTAACCGGCGGGTCTGGAGTTCGATCCCCAGAGTCGGCACTAACTTAACCGGAAGACGTGGGATCGTACCCCACCGCTGGTCCCCCGGGTGAAAGAGATCGGGGTGTCGAAGGCTGGAGACAATGGTGTCCTCTGGTGCGCGGGGCGGCTGGAGTGGGATGCCACCAAGAAGACTACAACGCTGCCGCAGAGCAGTGGTGGAGGAATGAGTCTGCATAGGGCCTGGACCAGACTGCATAGCAGGTGGTGGTTGGATAACTAAGATCGGGCGGCGGCAGGCTTCCGAAGGATATAGGAGGTGGCAATGGCACCGGGTGTGAGTGCCCTGGTAGATTACGCAGCTGTAGAGCATGCGTTCGGTGGACTGAGGACAGTAGGCGCCTGGGGCTAGCTTAGCTGGCACATGGACAATCAGGTGGACGCTGTCCTGTGACGATTACGGCGCAGCGGTTAGCACTTCCCGGTGCAGTGTGCGGACAAGGTGGTACGCCCCTCCTCAACAAAGGAGTGCTTTGGCGGTCTCCCGTATGTGGGCGGGTTAGCGCCCCCGGCCAGTGTCGGCCCGGCAGATATGTAACAGTTACATACATACATACATACATACATACATACATACATACATACATACATACATACATACATACATACATACATACATACATACATAATACATACAATACTAACATACATACATACATACAACATACATACATACATACATACATACATACATACATACATACATACATACATACATCCATACATACATACCATACATACATACATACATACATACATACATACATACATACATACATACATACATAACATACATACATACATACCATACAATACATACATACATACATACATACAT